TATCCACTGTGCCACCTAGCTGCCCCCCCACAATAAGCATTTATTAAGCACTTACTATAGGCCAGGCTCTGGAAACAAAACTACAACAAACAATCTCTATTCCTATAGAGATCACATTTCTAGGCAATGTCAGAAATAGGAGGTTTAGGGAAAGAAGTGGGTTGGGGGTAGGGGGAGCTCTGGGGAATGAATTCTGTTTTGGGTAGGTTGAATTAAACAGCTGGGTGGCATAGTTGATAGGGCGTTATGCTTGGAGTCAGGAAAACCTGAGTGTCTCAAAAGCTAACTAGATGAGTGAACCTAGGCAACTCACTTAACCTCAATTTGCCTCAGGTTTCTCCTCTGTAAAATGGGGATGATAATAGCACCTACTTCCCAAGATTATTGTAAGGATCACATGAGAGATGACATATGCCACCATGTTTACCGTAAAGCAGTTAGGTGGCCCTGGAGTCAGAACCAAATTCAAATCTAGCTTCAGATAATTAATAGCTGTGTGACCCTGGGCAAGTCACTTAACCTTTTTTCAGACTCAGTTTCCTCATCTGTAAAATGGGAATACTAATAGCACCCATCTCCCAGTGTTGTTGTGAGGATGAAATGAGCTAATACATGTAAAACACTTCGAAAACTTTGAAGCCATATATATATGTGCTGGTGATTATAATTACTATTATTAAAGCAGTATTTCAACAGTAGCTGTTACCGTTATTATTATTTGGGACGACTAGGTGGTGATACTCGTCAGACAGCAATAGGCATTAGTCATCGAGTGTACAACTGACCCAGGAGATCCATCAGCCTGAGTCTTTCAGGTCCTCAGCCAGGCCCCCAGAAACATTCATGGCTGGTGGAGAAGAAGCACAGGCCTCCTTCGCATAGGACCCCCACCTTCCCCTGGTGTTTCATCTCTTCTTCTTCTCCTCCCCACTAGGCAGGGCAGACGGGGCTGTCCTCCCCAGGGGATGGAATGACTCCCTCTCTAGCCCAGGGCAGGTGCATCAGATTTGGCTGATTCTGGAGGGGTCTGCCCTTGACTATCTTTTGTGTTTTCAGTCATGCTTGGCCTTCTGCCTGCTTGTATTTCAGCACAGCCACTTATGTTCTGATATGTTCCCTGCTTATCTGCTTGTGTTTGTGAGGGATGGGCCTCTTGTTCTGCATCTCAAATTCCTCCAGTCTGTCTGTGTATTTAAAATGCTTATGTTCTTCTGTTCCCAGTTAATGAAGAGGAACTACGTACATATGGCTTATTCTATGCTGTAAGACACGCCTGTTTCTGGCCAGGACTAGGGTGGGTAGAGGCCACCGCATGCCTCTAATTTTATTCAATTGGGGATATTTGGGCAAAGGACCCCGAGTCCTGGCTCTCCGCTTTCAGTCCCAAACTCTGGATGAACTCTCCAATGAAATATCCCCCAAACATGGCATGAGCAGCTGGGGAGCTCACGATGGACATCACCCAAGGAGAGAAGTTTCATTTGCTTCTGTTCATGTTCCAGGCCAAAACACCGCAGTCCAATGCTGGAATGACCTCTCATGTTCTCTCGTATCTCAATCAATCAAGTGATCAATCAGCTAAGAAGAATGTATTGAGCATCTCCTCTGCATTCAGCATCCTCTCGCTCTCAATGCTGCTACCAATATTTCTAGGATGTCCCATCACTACTGGCCCCTAACCAAAGCCATCCCAAAGAGAACCAAAGGAAAGGCCAGTCAAAAGAGTCCATGATCTGGAGGGAAAGAGCCAGGGTTAAGGAGGTTGGACTTAATGATCTTTAAGGTCTCTTCCAGCTTTAACCTTGTAATCCTGTCATGCCCACCTCCTCTGTACTTACCTGGCTATAAGGGAAGTATCTGGGCATGTCAAAGCTGCACCTTTCTCTTTGGGATTATAAATGTCAAGGATTAACCTGGCCATGATTTTGTCCCAACCCCGCTAAGGAATTGCAGCCATGGCTACCTTATAAACTCCAGATTCCTTGTATCTGTAATCACACAAGGGCTTCAGGTTTTAAGAATAACCTCTTACCCACATGTAGGCAATATATTCCCAGGGTGAGAGAAAGAAAGAGAACCTGATAGTGCCAGAACCACATATATCCCCAACACACACAAAATGGGAAGGGAGGGTACAGGCAGACAAATAGAGAGAATGAAAAAGATTGAAAGGGAAATGAAAAGTAAGAGCTTGGTGTTCAAAACCGTGGTTCGTTCTCTATGTATGGCAAGTGATTTTCCTTCTATGGGTCTGTTTCCTCTTCTGCAAAATGGGAGAGTAAGTATATGTTATCACTAAGGTCCATTCCAGCCCTGAATCTGATAGGGCAGGAGGGAGATGGGAGGAAATGATAGAAATGAGGATACTTGCCCTATCTAAGGGACATCTCACCAGCAGGCATCTGTCACCCAGCTGGACCAAAGGCTTGGGTGCTGAACAGTAAAATTAACTGTAAAATAGTATCACACCCTTGGGATTACCCAGAGGAAGCGCAGTGCATCCTTCATTTGGAGCTGGAAGGGACCTTTCAAGGCATCTCATTTTCCATTTACAGATGAAGAAACAGAGGAGTGAAGTGACTTCCCCAAAGTCCCACAGATAGTTCCACTAAGATCCAGGACTTAAGCCCAGGTCCTCAGACCACAGGACCTTTTCCCCTACACCAATAGCCTTTCCTACACTGTGAGGAAGGGCCAAAAAAACTATTAACCGATTAATTTCTCCATTAAGCCACTACTGATAGAGATTCACTCAACTCCCCTAATTCATAGTACAGCTGCAAACCACACAGTCCTGCAATGTAAGAAGAATGAGTTGGGAAACCAAAGTAAAATGATAATAATAATAGTTTGTTTAAAGTCAAAGAACTCCAGAGTCTCCTAACTCCGTGTCTTAAACTCAGCCAAAGGCACTGGACTGCACCATCCCTCTGTCTAGAAAGACGGAGGACGGGAGCTTTCCACAGACAATTGAGCTGGGACTGGTGAAAGAGAAGAGAAGCCAGATGTTGGGGGAGGAGGGTGGAGAGGGGGCAGGGTTGGAAGTTTAAATTCTGTTCCGTATGTCCAACTTCCAGAAATCATTTTCTTAAAATAGATTCCAAGTAGAGAAGGGAAGGGGGTGGAACCATGGAAGCTCTTTTTATATATAATCTCCATAACCCACCAAAACCAAAAGAAAAGTACTATTTCTAAAAAGAGTGCTTCTTATCAGTACCACCTCCTACAGGCATCAAAGCACTGTGCTAAGTACAAAGACAAAAAAAAAAAATAGTCCCTTCCCTCAGGGAGCTTTCACTCTATTGAAATCCAAAAGAAGCCTTTGTCATCTTAAATTACCTTCTATTTACTAACATACACACTGGACCCACTTCTCTTAGAGAAGATAAGCTCCTTGAGAACCTAGCCTAGGTTGGTTTTTTGTTTTTTGTTCTTTTGACTTTGTATCCCCAACACGAAGCACAGCGCATTATCTGTAGAGAAGCAGAACTGGACTTGTGGTTTCATTTTTATAGGGAACTCCCCAATGAAGAAACTCATTGCAGACTTCCAATTCAGGTTGCCACATCCTCTGAAACTTATAGTCTTTAAGAGTTACCTAGAGCATTGAGAGGTTAAGTGACTTGCCCAGCTTTACACAGTCAGTATGTATCAGAGGTATGACTTGAACCCAGGTTTCACCTTGTGCATAGTAGGTGCCTTCCTCTCTCCCATCTCTAATAACTTTGTAATCATTTATCTATGTAGTGTAGAAGGTAAGCTTCTTTAAGGCAGGGACATTTTTCTTCTAGTGTCTTCAGAACCAAGCATAATACAGATAGGTATTTAATAAACACTTGCTGAATTTAGATGTTAGCATCTCGTTTGCTTACTGTGAAGTACAAATGTAGAAGTTTTCTGGCATTCTGTTAATGGCTATTACAGAGCCCTAACTAGCAAGATTGTGTTTGGGTCAATGAGGAGGAGAGGAGGCTAGTTTTGTTTGTTTGTTTTGGTTTTGGGGGGGGTTGTTTTTGTTCTTTTGGTGAGGCAATTGGGGTTAAGTGACTTCCCCACAGTCACAGAGTTAGTGAGTGTTATGTTTCTGAGGTCAAATTTGAACTCAGGTCCTCCTGACGTCAAGGCCACTGCTCTATCCACTGTACCACCTAGCTGCCCCTTTTATAATTTTTTTTGGAGTAATTGGGGTGAAGTGACTTGCCCAGGGTCACATAGCTAGTAAGTGTCTGAGGTTGGATTTGAACTCAGGTCCTCCCGACTCCAATGCTGGAGGCTAGTTTTTAAAGTGAAGAATCTAGTAGGGCAAGAATCAGTCCCCTTATAGGTGTAATCTCCCTCCTGTCTTTCCTATAGAGAGTCCTGGCCCCTCTCTGTCCCTTACTCGTCATGAAAAGGAAGGCAGTTCATGAGAAATGTACCACGGCAGTGGAATCTTGGGGTTCAGTTATATTCAGGGCTTTTGAAAGACATAGAGGGGAAATGCAGGGAGGAGGTACCCACTCTACCCGTTAGTTCCCCCCAGATGTCAGAATCTTTGGTAACATACCATTGGCCCATCCTAATCAGGGCCCTAGGGACAATGGCGGTCAACTAGTTGAGCATCCCAAAGGTGTCTGAGATTGTTAATCTAGCCTGAGAATAAATTAACTTCATGGACAATGGGCTCCTAACAAGTTATCAGAAGAAGTTTAAGATGGTTAGAGAGATGTATCCTAACAGTATGGAGGATAACCAGTGTCCTCCCATTAAACCCTAATTCTGAACCCAGTCATCATCCCAAAGTTCAGACTGGTTGGGGGTTTCCCATCTTTCTATGGACGCGTAGCGATATTGGTCTACTCGAGATTCTTGTGATTATCTCTCTATACTTACAGAGTCCTAGTGGGCCCCAGAATTCCTGGAGCTATAGAATTTAGATTCTTAAAGAAGTGGGGGTTTTTCTACATTTGAAGAATTCAGAATTCCCAGGTTTGTGATTAGACATTCATGCTCCAGGAAGAATATGAGGGCCTACAGAGTGTTCTGGTATGAACTATGAAGATCCCAAATCTAGATTTAGGTCTGAGATCACCTAGTCGAACATCTGATTTGATCCAATCCATTCAATTTGACAGACAAGAACTAGAGAAATTAGGTGACTTGCTCAGCAGGCCACAGGTAAGCAGACAGAGCGAGCCAGGATTTAGAGCCAGGTCCTCTATCTGCAAATCCAGGGAAGAGATTGAAAGCTGGTGCGTACATCTTCTACTCCACCATTCCCTTTAGACAGATCAAGAAATGAGACCCAGCAAAGTAAAGGCACTATATAAGATCACCCAGCTCTAAGGAGTGGCAGAGTTGGGAATTCTGTCTCAGAGCCATGCACAGGCCTATCCTTTTGCCATATGAAGCCCAGAGAGGCTTTATCTTACTCGAAGTCACAGAGACAGCAAGAGGCAAAGGCAGCCCTAGAACCCAGCTCTCCAGATGCTCAGGTTGGGTGCTCTTATCTCTGTAACACTTTCTCATCAATACTTCAAAGATCTACAATTTCACTGATAGGGTACTGTCTCAACTGGTGCGGGACATGAGGTCTCCATAACATAGTACAATAATTAGTGTTTGAAGGTTTCTGTGGTCAAAAAATGTATTATGCTGTAGCCAAAATGGTAATGAACCTCTTTAAATTCAACTAGGCTAATCCTCAGAAAGCTTATATAGTCTATTGATGAGATAGAAGGATTTCTAGTTTCATTTTGGCAGCTAGGCGGCATAGTAGGTAGAGTGCTGTGGCCAGAGTAACTTCCTGAGTTCAAATCTGGCCTCAGATACTTACTGGTTGGGTGACCCTGGATAAATGCTATTTGACTCAGTTTCCTCATCTGTAAAAGGAGATGGAGAAGGAAATGGCAAATCACTCCCGTATCTCTGCTGAGAAAACCCCAAATGGGGTCACGAAAACTCGGCACAACTGAACACAACTGAACAAAGACCTATCCTACACCTTCAAGGCAGCTCTGGAAGTCAAGAAGACCTGAGCTCAAATCTGACCTCAGACACTTCTTAGCTATATGACCCTGGACAAGGCACATAACCTCTGTTTGCCTCAGTTTCCTCAACTGCAAAATGAGGGTGATAACAGTACCTATTTCCCAGTGTTGTTGTGATAATCAAATGAGATATTTATAGAGTGCTTGGCACGGTTCCTGGGACATGGTGGCAGGTGCTTAAATACTTATTTCCTTTACCTTCCCCATTAGAGCTTGGATCTCCTACCATGGACTTTAAGAACCCAAGGCCATCTCTGCACCACAATGAGGATATCAGAATAAGGTGTTCCTGATGCTGCCCTATTGGTCTTTGTTGGAACAACCCTGTGAGTTTGTTGAGGGAAACCTTCAGTGTGGAAATTCCCTTCACTATGATGGATTTTGTGTTAGAGGGACCTAGCTCTGCCATTTCCTAGCTGTGTGACTTTGAACAAGTCACTTAATCTCTTGGGCCTCAGTGACTTTATCAGTAAAACTATCAAAGTGATTTTCCTAAATGGAAGGTCTGGCCATGCCATGCCCCTATTCAATCAATTTCACTGGCTCCCTATCGCCTCCAGGATGGAATGTCGTCTTCTCTGTTTGGCTTTTGAAGACTTTTTTTTTATCCTGATCCCTTCTTCCCTTCCAGACTTCTTACACCTTTCTCCCCTCCACGTATCTAAGACCCCATAATGCTGGACTCTTCTTCTCATGATTAGATTCTCCATCTCTTGACTCCATGAATTTTCACAGGCTGTTCCTCATGCCTTCTCCCTTCTTTGTCTTCACCTCCTGGATTCCCTGGTTTCTTTGAAGTTTCAGCTAAAATCTCACCTTTTTGCAAGAATACTTTCCCAATTTTCTTAATGCTATTGCATACATTCTCTCTCTCTCTCTCTCTCTCTCTCTCTCTCTCTCTCTCTCTCTCTCAGATTACCTCCAACTTATCCTCTTTACAAGGCATCCCAAGTCTTAGTGCAGTTTAAACTATTAAAGGCTAAAACTTGGCTAAGATTTTTGGGACACCCTGTAAATCTTGTATGGATATCAAACAGGATAATATTGATCAGCAGGATAATAACAATGTTTAAAAGATGGGCCTTGGTGGCTGTGAATAGCTTCAAATCTCCCTCCCCTAATTATCTTGCATATGGTGTATTTTCCAATAAGCTCCCTGAGGATAGACACTGTCTTAATTTTGTCTTTGTGCCTAGGATGGTGTCTTACATGTGGTAGTTGCTTAATGAATGCTTGTTGAATTGAAAAGAAATTTAAATACTAGACAAATGTCCAGACAGACGAAATTCAATTGAATGAATGAATAAATGAAAAACTATTTATAAGCATTTGCTATGTGCCAGATATGTCTTCCATTCATTTGTGGGTCCATCTGCAATGTCTGTCCAAGACATACAATGGGCTTTCTATCCAACCAGATGTCATGATATGGGCAATATTTGTTTTTAGTATGGATAACTAGACCAATCTCTTTCAGATAATTATGAATTGGGGTGGAGGTATGGAAAGATACAAGGAAAAGATTGTGATGTAAAAACAAAAGATGGCAATAAAACTTAAAGATGAGTGAATATAAAAGCTCCAATATAATGCATCTTTTTTTTTTTTTGCTTTTTACTACATTTGTTTTTTGTATTTTCCTGAGGACACTTTGTAGCATTCCAGCATTCCAGTTAGCCCTGTGCTATTCGTAAATTGGAGCATTTGGAGAACCCCTCCATGGCCAGGGAATCCCTCTTCTATGTAGACTGTCCAAAGGACATCCTCCCTGACCCCCACAACAACTTTAGTGGGCGTTCCCCTTCTTGACTTCTGAATCCCTTGATGCAGATGTTCAACAACTGGTTGAACAATGCCATCTCTGCTTTTACATTTCTGTGGGAGATACTTTGTTGGAGGAGTACTTTTAAGGCTTTTTATTGTACCACCAAGATAAATGCTTTTTAAAAATCAATGAATAATAACCAGTGGGAGCTTATATTTTCTCTACTTCTCAAGTAATTGTTTGACTAAGAAGATGTCAGCTGCTGCAAGAAATCACCTAGGAAATCCTGCTTGTTCCTTTCTGATGTTTTCATCAAGGATTCGTGGCTTATACTTATAAGCCATTCTCATATATATCATGAAGGGGGAAAGGTAGGCTAGCAATTGGCTGCTGATGTGAGTGGATAACTGAAAGGCCAAAGAACAGCTAATAAAACATGACTCCCTCCTGGGACAAATCACTGGCTTCTCTTTACCTGATTTTCCTCATCTGTAAGATGAACCTTTTGGATTCAATGGCTTTTAAGGCCTCCTCCAGCTTTCAGTCTATGATCCTTAGAGTAGAGAGACAGGGAACTACACAAGGGTGAGCTATGATCATAGTTTTGGGTTTTTCTGCTTAATAGTGTTTCTTTGTTGTAAGGGAGAGTTCGATAAGGTCAGGTGTGGTCCGGAAGTTGCAGTGTCAAAAAGACCAAAGCTAGGTGGCACCATAGTGCATCGAGCACTGGGCTTATAATCAGGAAGACTGATCATCTTGAGTTCAAATCCAGCTTCAGACACTTATTGGCTGTATGACCCTGGACAAGTCTCTTAACTCTGTTTGCCTCAGTTTCTTCATCTGTAAAATGAGCTGGAGAAGGGAATGGCAAACCACTCCAGTATCTGTGCCAAGAAAACCCCAAATAGGATCACAAAGAGTCAGATATGACTTAACAAAAAAACCAAAGATTTGAATGACAGGTATTTTTCCAGAAGTTGGGACAGAGTAGAGGAAAGAGTCCTATTATAGGCATGGGGGATGGTAAAAGGGATAGAGACAACAGCACATAGGATGTGTCATATTCTATGGGAAGCCTTTCCAGAGCTACTTCATTATTAGTGCCTGCTTCCTCTTTTTTGTTTTTTTGGGTTTTTTTGGTAAGGCAATGGGGGTTAAGTGACTTGCCCAAGGTCACACAGCTAGTATGTGTCAAGTGTTTGGTCTGAGGCCGAATTTGAACTCAGGTCCCTCCTGACTTCAGGGTTGGTGCTTTATCTACCACACCACCTAGCTGCCCCTCGGCTTCCTCTTTCTTAAATTATCATGTAATGTGCGTATGTATCTATATCTATCTATCTATCTGTATGTGTGTATATATGTATGTATGTATGTATGTGTATATATATTTATATGTATATATATATGTGTATATATATATATATATATATATATATATATATATATATTTACATATTACACCCTCCTCCTTCCCCATAGAATATGAACTCCCCTAGGGCAGGGATGTTTTTTGTTTTGTCTTTGTATTTTCAGCTCCTGGAATAGTAGGTGCTTAATAAATGCTTGTTTGACTGTAAAAAAAAAATTAAAGTACCATTACTGATCATTTCCATTCTTTTCTAATCTTCCTTTCTTTGAGATGTGTTGAAAAATCATTCACTAACTACCCTGAAATTTAGGTCATCTCCAGTATAGATTTCTTTTGGATATATTTAGAGGGGCAGTACTGTACAGTGGAAAGAGCATTAAATTGAAAGCTGAGACTTGGATTTAAGCCCTGACCCTCATGCTTATGAGCTATGCATCCATTGCAACCCCTTAGTCTTAATTTCCTCAATTGTAAAATGAGAATAATAATGCTTGCAGCAGATACCTTAAAGGCCTGGTACAGGGAAAGTGTTTTGTTAGCCTTCAAGGATTAAAAATTTGTGTTATTATTTTTTACCAATCTGACACTATTACTACAGAAGAAGGAGGAGACAGAGCAGTACTGGGGCCATTTTAAATTTGTGTCTGTAATAGAATTTTATCACAAATGTGAATTGTTAAATTGTTTGTTGATATCCGTATCATTATTATCTAGCATTTCCCCCAACTTCCATTCTCTACATCTCAAAATATCTCTGTATTATAGCAATCCTTTTTTCCTTCCCTCCTATACCAGAGGAAAAGGTGACCCTTTCTCATTTCCAAGGCTATCATCTCTACTCTTAATTCAATATCCTTATTTCCTCAATTCTCCCTGCCTTAGGTCCCTAGTTCTTCAAATTTCCTTTTTCACTGGCTGCTTCTATTGGTCCTACTAACGTGATCTAGTCTCTCTTAGCTTACAAAAGACCTTGACTTGGCCCTACTCCCTCCTCTGGCTATCATCCATTTTTGGCTAAAGTTGACCAAACAAGTGTTGAACCCCAAAGACACCAGCCATCTCAACCCCCTACAATCTGACTTCTGCTTCCTCCTCAATGATACTACTCTCTCAAAAATCATTCTTGGTCTGGAGTAAAGTCCAACAGCTTTTTCTTCATCCTTATTCCCCTTTGCCCTTCTTCGCTATCTCCATTGTTGACCAACACTTACTCAACACCCTCTTCCTTCCTTGGGTTACTCAATATGACATTTTCCTTCTTTGTTGAGGGCATTTCCTCCCTTGGCCTAGTTTTCTTCCAATCTCTCTGAATATTTGATCCCATTTTCTGGTTCTACTTCTATTCCCTACTCCATAAATGTGGCCATACCTCAAATTTCAGTGCTCCATCCTCTGTTCATCCCATTGTGGAAAGCATTGTACTCTTGGTTAGACCACATGCAGAACATTGTGCTCAATTCTCAGTTCCATGCTTTAAAAGCCCAGAACACTGACAAATTTTGCATCTATAGAAGGGTGACCAGGATGGTAAAAGGGCTGAAAAGACATCTTAAGAAAAATACTTGCTGGAACTGGAGATGTTTCACCTGTGGAAGGTGAAAAAAGGAGGAGACATGGTTATTGTCTATGAATATTTGAAGGGCTGTCATATGGAAAGGGCTGTTCCAGAGTAAAGAACAAGGTGCATGTCACAGGGAGGCATTCCAAAGGAGGGGAAGCTGACAATTAGAGCTGTCCCACAATGGGCTGGGCTGCCTTGAGATGTAGTGACTCCCTGTCAATTGAAGTGTTCAAGCAGAGAGTAGTTGATCACCTGTCACAGATGCCATAGAAGGAATTTTTGAATTGGGAGAGGGTATAGACTCTGTGACTGCTAAGGTCCCTTGCAACTCATAAGATTCTTTGACACATGAATTCTTCATCTACCTTCACAAAACACACACACACACACACACACACACACACACAGCCACATCATCTCTCAGGATCATTGTTGGGATTAACTGAGATAATGTGTGCATTATAAACCTTAAATTGCTCTCTAAGTATAAAGTATCGTTACAGTTGTTGTTATGATTACTATTAATTAATCACCAGGTACTGTTTCTAACATGCCTCATCTCCATCCCTTTTTCCATTCATATAATCACCACCTCATTTGCACCTTTTCTACCTCTTACCTAGATGGCTGC